GCTCAAAACAGATAGGAAACCACTCTTTTAAAGGTTTTATGTGAAAACAAACCAATTGTAATTATACTACCTACTGTGACCAAATTGGAGAAGGTTTTAAATATTATTGGGATTTTTTTGTTGGTTATTTGTGTTGTGTGTGTTTTTTGTACAATACCATATCTTTTGAAAGGGAAATGCTCCGGAGGCATTTATTTACAGGAGCTGACTCAGACTGATTGAAGGAGGTATGCACAAACAAATTCTAACTGCAGATGATTATGATCATAATTAATATTAAAGACAAGCCAGAATACATACCACATATAGAAAATGGCTTACCATTGTACTTTCAGCAATATAACCAGTGTATTTCATACTGTGCTTATTCAAAGGTGCCCTAATGGTACTTACATGACTTTTTTTTAAGTATACAACACCTGTAAACCTTCAAGTAGGGAAGCTTAAAAAAGTGAAAGAAAATAGCATTCTGCTCTCCACTGCAGCCACAAATTCAGAAGGTCAGGAAATATCTGAAAAGTGGGCTTTGAGCCATTGTCAACCTCTGTTAAGTTTTATGTTTATTTTTTACCTTAAATTGGCATGTCTTTGTGTTTTAGTAATATATTAATTAGAACTATTTCCTTATTTTAAATTATTTTTATTTAAAATCATAAGCCTGTACATTTATATGATTTTTCATTTTCAATATTTATAAAATGGAGACTTATTGTTAATAGAGAAAAAATTGATAATAAAATCTGCATCCATGTAACAAAGAATTTTCTTCTGGAAAAAGTGTCATGTGTTTAAATTGTGGCAGCAATACACATGTATGAGCAGGGAGCCTGAGACAGGCACAGCCCCAGCTGGCCATTCTCTCTTCTGGTTTTCTCAATGAACTGCCCAAGCAAGAAGTAACTGCTTCTTTAGATGTTCTTGGCCTCTCCCCACACCTAAATCTGGGCTCTAGCTACATCCAGAAAAATATTTATAGAGGTATGACCATGTCACTGTCTGTTTTCAATCATTCCCATGGAGCACCTCCACCCACAAAGTGGGGTCCTTTGTACCAGGGTCACTAACAAAGGCTCTCCAAGATTTGGTCCTTACTACCCATCTTATGTGGAAATAGGTCCAGATGAAATGTCAGAAAACAGAATACCAGTGGCAAAGACAAAGATAAAGGTCTGTTTCCTCCCACATAAACAAGATCCAGGGATGAATTGGTCCTCCACTGTGGTCTGGACCTTTACCCTGTGCTGCTCCAATTACTACTTCTGCCTCATGTACCAGATCACTCACTGCTTAGCCAGCCCTCAGCTCTGCATTCCAGCCAGGGAAAGAGATATTAAGGGTATGTCCTTCATGTCAGAGACACTTTCCAGAAATTGCACATGCCATTTCAGATTGTATTTCATTAGAAGTAGTCACCTATGCACATCTAGGAGACTGGGAAAAAATAAAGTAATTATTCTGGGATTATTTTATACTCTTCAATCATGGAATCCTTTCTTTCTCTTTAGTTGTCTATTATGACCTGGCATGGGTAGGTCTCATGGAGGGTAACCAAAGAAGCCACCTGACCCTGAAAAAATTCACGGAGATTTCTTCTTCCTGATGTCACCCCAAACTGAACCCTGTTCTCCTGGACGGGGTTCCCCACATTGTTCTTTCTAAAGCTAGTCATGATAGCCTGACAGTCAGTCTTCACTGAGAGAGAGAGTGGAGCCCTCCATGTGGCTCTTCTCTCTGCATAGAAATAAAATCAAGAACAGCAGAGCTAAATAAAGATATGCACAGAAATCAAAATTAAATAAGGACTTGCCAGCTTTGCAACACTGTTTTTCTGCTGTCAGCATCTTCCAATATGTGGTCTGTTTTTTCCTTGGTCTAATAAATTACCTACCTTGAGAATTTCCTTTACCTTGCTGCATTATTCTTGCTTTGGTCATCATTTGTACAGGTGTGTCAAGTCCATGAAAACCAGGTATGTCTTGCCTTGACTGGTTGGCATGGCTCAGTGGTGGAGCTTCAACCTAGAAGGTTAGGGTTTAATTCCCAGTCAGGGCTTGATCCTCAGTGTGGGACATGCAGGAGGTGTCTGATAGATGTTTCTCTCTCATCATTGATGTTTCATCTCTCCCTCTCACATTCAGAGCTCATCTCAGGATATCCAATATACTTAAAGAATTTTCCAATCCCAAAATCAGGACATGTTGTCTGATAGTAAAATTAAACTTAGGAGAACAACAAAACATCATTTTAAAGTCATGGTAGACACCCCCCCAAAAAAAGAGAGGATCATCATAGAAACTGTTATGAAGGCACATTCACCTACAGTCCCCACCCACACTCAAAGGGGAAAGTATGAAAAGTAATTTCCTTTTCTATTTTCAGAAATCTCTTACAGCCACTTAAAATCTAATTCAAGGGCTAGCAGCTTCCTTATCCAAGAATGTAGATGATAATAAGAATTGTTTTTTGTATCTTTTTCATGATGAGATCATGTCTCTGAGTACTTCACAAGCCCTTTGGCCCATAGTGACTGCAGTGTGCATGCCCAGGTCTGCAACAGCAAACACTGGACTCTGCACAGGAGAGATAAACAGTTACACCACAGGCTGGAGCAAATGAAGTCCATGGATGCCACTTACATTCATTGGGAAGTGGAGGGGAAGAATTGGCAGGAAAAAGTGTGCTGGGAAGGGAGTTTAAGAGTAAGACCTCACTTTGCAGGCAGAGATGCTTCTCCTTCTCTCATTCTTCATTGTCCTCTTTCATGTAAGGCTTTTTATGTGACTCTAATTCTATTAGATTGTTATTTGTGCTTTTTTTAAAATATTTAAAACCATATTTAAAAGGCAAAAATGTCCTCAACAGGACTTGTTTCATATAGACTTCCTCATACAATGGATTTTTTCATCTAAATTAGTTTGTGCCCAGTTTTGCTAAAATCATGTATTTAACCTTCTGATATCCCTTTTTCCACACATATTCTTGGAGTTATAATATAATACAAAGCAGTCCCAAAGTATTTTATACTTAAGTTTCCTTTTTCATGAGTCTCTCCTCAGTGGGCAAGTTTTAATTTACAGGCTCTTCCTAATCCATGGTTATTATCTATAATAATAAAAGGGGTAATGTGCTAATTAGACCAGACATCATTTGGGATATCCTTCCTGACAAAGCCAGGGCTGGAGGAAAGCCCAGGTCCCGGTTGCCAGAGGGAAGCTGGTGCTGGCAGATGGAGGATGGAAGGCCTACTCTTGCATGAATTTTGTGCACCAGGCCTCTAGTGAGTCCTGGTTTTTCTTTTCAGAGTCAACTTCTTTCTCTCTTTCAAACAGATTGTCCTCTATTTGGCAATCATATAGACAGGAGACCAGGCAAAGCCTTCACATTTTTACTCTAAGGCAGTTGGAACTTACCGAGGTGGGATAGTCTTTGATGGGTTGTGAAGAGTTGGGGAGTGGCACAAAGACCATTCACCTGCCTCACTCTGAAAACCACTGGTTTGTGGAATGCTTGTGAGATGGTCCCTTCCTTCCTTGGCTTGGCCCTTCCCTTATAATACAGTCTTCTTTCCATTCAATAAATGTGACTTGAATCACAGTACAGACCACTCTGGGAAATTTTGCACTAATACATTGATTTATTGAATAAATATTTTACTGAGTTCCCACCAACAGCCAGCCAAGCACTTTTTTGGGTGCTGGATGGGTAAGACTCGGGCTGTCAATAGGAACTTGGTCAGCAACTGGAGAACACACACTGTTAGAGTCAGAAAATCATCTGCCTGGGGCAACAGCAGCCCCTGTTACTAAAGCCAGGGGAAGGCCTGGGCTCAGAGCCAATGAGCTCCCACAGTGGATCTGCAAGAGGGACTTCTCACAGAGGCTGAGCTGACCTTAGCCCAGGTGTTTCGTGGCCTCAGGAACATTTCCAGGACCTTCCCTTTGGCCATCTTGCCGTCGTTTGTGAACATTTAACCAGAAACCTTTGGTTTCTGGGAAGAGCAAGCAGGTGCCACGTTATTCAAACTAACCCACTCCAGCTTATTCCTTCTTCAACTGCTCTAGGTTTGTTGACCCTTCGATGACAGAAATATAGGGGCAGATTGTCTCTACAAGCTCTGGTTTATTTGCCAGAGTGTTACTTTTATCAACTCTGATTACCGTGGTGGGGGAGGGGCGCTTGTGTGGTGTAATTGTTACTACAGAATTCTAATGGGAAAGCATGTGACAGAAGATAGAAAGCTAAATCTTTGAGTTATAAGGTGCCAGTACACTCCTTTATTTATTCACTTATTTTTATTTGCATTTATGGAATGCTTACTGTATGTGTCCGCATGGCTGGCCTGGTGCTAGGGAGAGGGAGGAAAAGGTGCCTTAAGGTAGGCGGGTCTGCAAGGAACTGAAGCGACCCAGGAAATCCAGAGACAAATCCACCGGAGCTGAGAGAGAAGCTGGTGGGGAAGCACAGAGGGGAACTAGTTCTGTCTGCAAAGGGGGGTCGGCAGAGGCTTCCCAGAGAAAGTGAGCCTTCGGTGAGTTAGAATTCCCAGTCACATCCAGTTAAGAATAAAGCCAGAGAAGCAAGGGGAAGATACAGCCAGCTATTAGAATCTTGGAGGAAGGAGGAAGGGGGTCCCTTTCAAATAATTTTAAATCACTTTAGCATTTCTATAGTTTCCTTTTCCAGGTTTACTAGCTTTCACCCCTACAGTCTCCCCATGGCTGATTGGAGTCGGCTTCCCCGCCCTACAGGGGAAATAGAGTTTTTCCAGTAATGCCTTACAACTGCTTTCAGGGAGAGTGATGAGTTCTTCTGCCAGAACACAAGCACAGGAGCAGGCAGCACCGCCAGACAAAGCAATATCTATCTACCAAAGGACCTGCTAACCATGTCCCCCTCCTGTTCCTCCCTCTCTTCCCACCTCCCTCCAGGTCTTGGCGGGAGACGGGTCTGGCACCTGACCACGGGGTGTCCATGCCCCCGGCGGTTGCCCCCCATCCGCAATGAAAGGGTTATCCGGCAGCCGCAGCCATCACCACGGGGTCACCTGCGATTCCGCCTGCGACTCTCACCACCACCACCACCACCAGGACCATCACCGCAAGCCCTACCTGCTGAGCCCCGTGGAGCAACACCCGGAGCACCACCCGGCGGACCACCCGTACTACACGCAGCGCAACTCCTTCCAGGCCGAGTGCGCGGGCCCCTTCAGCGACCCGCTGGCCAGCAGCACCTTCCCGCGCCGGCACTACACCTCGCAGCAGGAGCTCAAGGACGAGTGCGCCGCCCTCGTGCCCCGCACCCTGGCCACCAAGGCCAACCGCCTGCCCCCCAACCTCCTGGACCAGTTCGAGAGGCAGCTGCCGCTCGGCCGGGATGGGTACCACACGCTGCAGTACAAGCGCACGGCCCTGGAGCACCGCAGCAGCGACAGCCCGGGCCGCATCCGCCACCTGGTGCACTCGGTCCAGAAGCTCTTCACCAAGTCGCACTCGTTGGAGGGCCCAGCCAAAGGGCCTGGCAGCGTCAACGGGGGCAAAGCCAGCCCCGACGACGCGCAGACCCAGACCGTGCGGTATGGCAAGCGCAGCAAGAGCAAGGAGAGGCGCCCCGAGCCCAAGGCCCGGCCCAACACCTCCCCCAGCACGTCGTCGCCGGGCTGGTGGAGCTCCGACGACAACCTGGACAGCGACATGTGCATCTACCACTCCCCGTCGGGCGTGATGACCATGGGCAGGTGTCCCGACCGCTCGTCCTCGCAGTACTTCGTGGAGACCTACAACACCATCAGCGAGCAGGCGGTCAAGGCCTCCCGCAGCAGCAACGACGTCAAGTGCTCCACCTGCGCCCACCTGCCCGTCAGCCTGGACGCGCCGCTCCTCAAGAAGAGTGCCTGGTCGTCCACACTCACCGTGAGCCGCGCCCGCGAGGTCTACCAGAAGGCCTCGGTGAACGTGGACCAGGCCATGGTCAAGGCGGAGTCGTGCCAGCAAGAGCGTTCCTGCCAGTACCTCCAGGTACCATTGTGGTCGGGTGGTGGGTGTGCAGAAACTGTACCTGCTAATTGGATGGTGACTTCTCCTGGGTCTTAGGACTGGCTCTCTTAGGAATTTTTCTGCATGGAAAAAAAAAATTGTTTTAACATTTCTGTGTCTAAGTGCGAGTGCTCTCATCAGGAAACAAACCTGCCACCATCTTCATCTAGTTAATCTTGAGTTACCAGAAAGCAAAGTGCTTTGAAAAGCACACCCGCCTAAAGGCAAGGAGTTATTCGTGTTCTGTGTTCTTTTGTCTGAAGGATGGTGGGATAGAGGGGAGAGGAAAGGGGAGTCTACACGGAATTTTAAAATAGATCCACCTTTTTACAAAAGTCAACTATGGCCTTTGGAATTTTGGAGTTTAATTGTGTCTATCCAGAGTTGTTCATTTATTTTTGTTTGTTTTATTTTTAGTTGTAAAATTCTGTTTGGAGTTATTAGTTTGAGGAAGTTGATCTATCTTCACCACTGTAATTGTCATACCAATACCAGCACTAACTACACTCCTACCTACCTAAGCCCCCACTGCCAGGGGCACAGGGAATGAGGGAATGCCCTGAGCGCTGGGAAGGTGGAGCTGGAGCCAGTTTGGGAGCCTGACAAGCACAGCTGCAGAGACCTAGGACCGCAGAGAGGAGGAGGAGGAGGAAAGGGGGGAGCATCCACACAATAAAATGCAATTAGTGTCAGCGTGTAAATCCCACACACTTACAAACCCACCCTCGGCTGCTGCTTCTCTGCCACAACCTCCTCATACTTTCCTACTGCCCTCTAGTCACTTAAACTAGATTTCACCTGAAGAGAAAGAAGAGGGGAAGAGTATTTCTCCTCCCTACCACCTTCCTCTAGTATTGTCATTTTTCCTACGACACAACCCTTCATAAGAATGACCCTCATAGTCTTCCTTGTTACAGTGTCTTTTGGCCACTTTCTCCTACTATCCCCATCTTTTTAAAACATTTTTTACTGTACTATAATAATTTCCCACTCTAATTTTAAAAATTAATGCTGAAAAAACTCTCTTCCACTGAGAAGTTTATCATCTTGCTCTATTCCTGACAAAACTGGTTCCATTGGACATGCGTCTACAAACCCTGAGAATATTCTAGGCTGGCAGTCAGTGGGCAAGGTCAGTGCCAGAGCCCTTCTCCAGACTTCAGAAGAAGCCACCAACATGTGGGTAGTTTTTACAAACACTACACAATTATATGGTGTGTTGCCTAAATTAGAGCTAAGGAATCATTTAATCCAACCTCTTCATTTAGCATATAAAAAAACTATACTCAAAGTAAGGTAAAGACTCAGTGGTGTACTGTTAGTGTGTGGCTCTGGTAGGACTAGAACCCATCCCTCTTTATTTATGGAAATGACCATTATAGGAATTATATCAGAAAACTTTAGAACTGCCTTAAGCACATAAAATTCATTCATCACTGAGAATAAAATACTTTTATAAGACTGTCTTGAAGAAAGAATGGATAATGAGCCGAGACCGGTTTGGCTCAGTGGATAGAGCGTCGGGTTGGGGACTGAAGGGTCCCGGGTCGATTCCGGTCAAGGGCATGTACCTTGGTTGTGGGCATATCCCCATGGGGGGTGTGCAAGAGGCAGCTGATCGATGACTCTCTCTCATCGATGTTTCTAACTCTCTATCTCTCTCCCTTCCTCTCTGTACAAAATCAATAAAATATATTTTAAAAAAAAGAATGGATAATGAGATAGAAACCTGAGAATATGATATTTTGTCTATAAAGTTTCTGTGACTAGCAGCAAAAATAGAGTAATTAAAAAAAAACTGGACTTCAATAAATAGTGATGATATTAGATAAGAAATATCAGATTAAAGAAGGATACTTACATGCATCTGGAGCTAGCCTTTGTTAGTAACAAAATGCTTCCATTGTGTTGCATAATTGCCTGTGTTCTTTCTACCTAAAATTCTTTTCTCTTTTCTTTTTATGCTATTGTGAAGTAAAAAGCTCAAGTAGTGGTGAAAAGTGAAAAGAGAGAGAGAGAGAAAGAGAGAAAGAGACTAATATTAATTGAAAACTTACTATGTACCAAATGCTGTGGCAAACCTTTTCATATTAATCTCATAATAATTTTGAGAGCTAGATATAATAATACTCTGTTTTTACAAGAAAGGAAACCAAATCTTGGAAATATTAAGTGAGCTAAAGATATGTGGCCAGCAAATTATAGAACTAAGATTTAGACTTAGATGTATGTGATGCAGAGTAGCTCTTTCCTATATACCCAGCACAACCCTGGAACCAAGGGCATGAAAATGGTGAGCAAGGAGAAAAAAAATCTTTGAAGTAAACCTATTATTTATGTTCTTTAGTAAAATGAGAATGAAAGCTTGAAGGTTCAAGTATAGGATCTAGCACAGGCATATTAGTGGGTCTCCTATCATAAAGATTTGAAAATTCTACTTTCAAATTATTTACCTTATTTTAAGCAAATTTTTAAATGAAATACTTGAGGCTTACAAAAAGGTATTTAAAAAAAAAAAGTAAAATACACTCCCCTTATACATCATTCAGCTATAGAAATAAAACCTTAATTGCAATGGATCTCATACATTCCTTCCTCAGCCCACTTCCCTCCTTTCTTCCTCAGAGTAATCACTAATCTGATTTTGATACACAAGGCACCTTTATTTCTAATTCTGAAATTATCAAAATATTGAAAACATTTAATACTTTCTGTCCTATACTAGGCAATAATTAACTCTAGCCCAAGCTAGTTCAAGCCTTTAAATATAACTGAGAGTAGAGTTATACTTTCTTTAACAAATGTTGATATTTATTGAGCTCCTATTCTGCACAAGGCTTTCAAACTGAAATATGGTGTAATAGTAGTTTAGTGAGTAAACTAAATGTAGAACAGTGTGTTCTTCTCAGCCATTGTGCTGATGTCGGAGAGTTCCTCTAAAAAGAAGTAAGGGTGCTGGACACTCACAAGGGGAGGCAGGAGAATGGGCAGCGCCTGAGAACTGGACGTTCTCTCCAGCTCCTGTCTTGCGTTAGAGGAAAAGGAGAATCTGCTGTCCTGTGCAAGCTCCTCTCAGAAAGATGGATGTAGCCAGCTCCTGCCAGCTCCTATGGGATAATTCCATTTGTAGGCTCATCCTTAGAAGCAAATATGTGGTATTCAAGAGAGATGGGATTTGTGTGTGTGTTTCTAGTTGTATTGTTTTAAATACCACCTAATACTGAAATTGAATTTCCAATGTGTTCAATTTCAACATCACAGGGTTTAGTGGACAAGGTGTTAAGTTTTAAATGAGGGTGTGTTCTAGTCCCTCCTTACCACAAACCGGTGATGTGGATGTTGCCTGGAGCCATTGTTTCAGCTCTTCAGGGTCTCCTTCCTCTGCTATAAAGGGAGACACTTGATCTAAAGGCCTGTGATTTCAGTCTACATCTTTAAACTCCTAAGTTACATATGCAGAGTACTAATTAAAGCAATTTTCCAGAGCCTGGAGCTCTCACTTAATAAATACCTACTAAAAGCGAATGTTCTCCCAATGTTATCTAATTTGCTCTTTAAAACCGAAAGGTATTTTACAGTGGAAGAAACTGAGATTTAGTAAATTAGGTTAAGTACTTTGCCCAAGGACACAGCTAGTCCATAGCATCATGGTGGGTCAAAACAGATGTCTGCCTGCAAAACCTGAATTCTTTCCTTTCACTATGCCCAATCCCAACCTTCTCCCAAATATAAAACAAAGTAGCATATATCAAATACTTTTATGGGCTAGAAATCATACAGTATCTCATTTAGTACCTAAAACAACTTTGTAAAGTATCACTGTTTACTCCAGCTTACAGACAACAAAACTGAGATACAAAAGATCTCAAATCATTTGCCCAGGAATGCATAGATAGTAAGTGCAAGAGCTAAGTCTTGATCCCAGATTGGACTGAATCTCTAATGAGCTTCAGAAGTAGAAATAAATGTGTTGGGGGTTTTGACCTAATGTATGTGCCTGCATGTTTATGAAATGTGAGCCATCTTAGACAAGCAACAGAATGACTGAAAGGTTCCAAATTTGATTCAAGAATGAGCAAAGATTAAATTAATAGTTACCAATAATAGCATCTAAATACAGTTCTGATTCTCCCTTTGTCCAATTATCACTTAGAATTAATTTAACATAGACCATTGCTGTGATTATATAGAAAATGAGAGGTCTGTAGGTATTTGGCCTCTGTCTGACATTGATTTCAAAATAAAATATTGTAGCTTGAAATCATTGCCAGTTCCAGTTAATATAATCAATTGGTGAGAATGTGCTCACTCACAAGCTGTTTGTAGTTTTTTTTAAAAGGACTCTTTCCCCCCCCAATATTGTTATTTTTAAATGTCAAGAATCAGATGTCTGCTGTGTAGAATTATTGTACCACTGCCAGTGACTGTCTGTATCAGGCTTTGGATCAGGGACATGGATTTGAAGACATTAAAACTGTTTAATTCTCAGTTGAGATGTGGTTGGCTTTTGTACATTTGGAATAGAGCATTTATGGCACATCTCAGGGTAAGTGGTAATAGTTAAGTAAATAAAATAGGAATGGGATGAAAGGAGTAAAAGGAGCTTTTGTTGTGGTTTTGTTTTTGCTTTTAAAAAGCAAGGTTCTTGGTTCTGTATATGCGTCTTTATGTAAACATTATATGTTGAGTGACTGGTATTTAAAGCCATTCAGAAGAGCAAGATTTTAGATTTCCAACTGTTAGCCTAAAAAACAAAACCCCTTCAAGTCATGGATTTTGCGTTCATTCAGCAGCAGAAACAGGAAAAGAGAAAGAAAGCATTCTCCGGTAGAAGTAGAGAGAGGCACAGAGGGAGAGAGAGAGAGCAAGACAGACCCGGGAAAGAAGGCACTCACAGAGATGAAATTTTAGGAGAGCAACATGATCGACCTCTTTAAGGCTGAGTGGGTTTCTTCAGTTTGTGTGCAAGTTTCAAGAAATGG